AGGGCCAGTCGAGCCTGGTTCGGTGACGAGCTTCCAGGACGAAGTCGGGAGGTACGTGATGCGCGGGATCCGTCGAAAAGACCGTGAAGGCTTGGGTGCAATGAGCGAAGAGAACCGCCGTTGTGCCGAGCGCAGCCAGTCTGTTGAAAAGAGGGACCAAGCTTAAGGAGTGCATTGGTGTCGACCGAGCGTTGTCGAAAGGGAAACCCTTGCGGTCGACAGACAGTAGACCGATAGTTGTCCGGAGCATCTTATACACGCGGAGGAGCATGTACACTAGTCTCAGTCAGCGACATTGTGCCCGACCCGGACAGAAGGTCGTTATATTGTTCCCCGACATCCTTTCCACAAGAGCAGAGGGAACGGAAGGTCAAGACCAACGTAGACAATATTGGAGGAAGGCGGCAGTACATCCGGGTTTCAGGACACGCACCGCAAAATCGTAGGTTAAATTTATAAGGTGCACACTGAACGCGGAATAGGGTCTATGTAGTATGGTGGACGTTTGCGGACAGCTCCGTTGGTCGGCTGATAGAGAGAGAGTAGAGAGGGATGGGGGCAACACCATCTGTTGTCGTCTGAGACAAGGGGGAGACAATCTGTGCCATGGCTCCCCCCCTTGTCCGCACTTTTGCAGCCCTCCGAATTGACGGCTCCGACTGATCACAGCCACTACATGCCACATCATGCTGACGTCCTTAAAGCCGAAAAATAATGTTTTCTCATATTGTGATTTACTTCAAATATGTAAATACTATATTAATGTAAGAGTAGATTTCATTCCCAACTTGTTCGAGGTGAAATGAGTTCCAAATGATTATTATTTTCAATGTTAGGATCGACTTCGCCGTTTTTGCGAGCGGCGGACCCTGTTCGAAGTGCGGACAGGGGGGGGAGAGGTGGAGCAGTTGCGATGTAGGTCTGGCGTACAAAGCATGCGGCAACCAGGAGACTTCCCACCTCAAGTGGGGTGAGCGTCTTGAGCTTTGCGACAACGACTCCCAGCGCATCCATTGTGGTCCAAAGTCGTGGTCAGTAGGAAAGGAGGAGTTAGGTTGTCATTGCATTACTGCGGCTATTTGTAGAGCATGGTCGGGCGCCGTCAGTATGGCTGTTGAGAACGGTTGATCTCCACAGGGGTCTCACCGGGCGCCGCGCGTCCCTCTCGGCAACTACGCAGTGATACTGCGCTTCTGGCAAACGCTACCTCATAACACCCAAGATCTATTTGGCAAGGTATTGAGGTACATGATCAAAAGCAACAGAAGATCTCCTTTCGGGCTTAATGCACATGCCTAGCGATCCACGGCCACCCACGACGGACTTTACTTCTCAACCGACGAACGGCTTGCTCTGCGCTGCGCTTGCACCCAAATTGCGCGTTCCAAAGCCCATCATGTTCGCGGTGTAGTGGAATGCAACGTAGTACTGATGGAGGAACGGCATACCGGTGATCCAATTGGTCGTGGAGCCCGAATCGATGACTGTTGGCTTGCAGAAGCCCTGGCCATTGTTGGTGGTAGTGTCAGCAATACTGAATGTGTACTCGCGGTTCTTTGTGCCGAAGAAGTTGTATGTCATTGTCGATCCACAGGGAATGAGGAAATTG